CAAGCACAATAATCAATAATTTCAATAATCTATATTCAGATTGTGTTTTGCATAACATAAAACACTTTTCAAAGTTTTGCGATGATAAACACTCAATAAATATTTCTGATAGAATCATTTAACAAAATGTGTGTCTAGTCAAATCACATTTAACAGTGTTGTTACTATAAGCACTTTTCAATATATTTTTCTGCTGGAAACACTTCACATAATGTGTTATATGCTAATTATATATTTTATAATGTGAACCTTTATCTGCTTATCGCTTCACCATTAATCAAAATTGAGTGTTGCTAAGTCAATGCAATTGGCTTTGAATACCATATCTATTAAACATTAATGAATCCCCAGTTCCGTGGTAAACATGGGGACACGGGGGACTTCCTTGTTAAATTATCGATGATACTGAATTAAATTATTGACGATACACTGCGTCAACCCCTCCGGGCTGATTCTAAAAAAACGCATCGCATTGGAATGATATTTTTGTTATTTGCCTCGGTCTTGGCATGGAATAAGCGAAGAAAATGTGTATAGTGTATCAGAACCAGTACACTAAAATTAAACATTAAAGCACAATAGTTGATACATAAAACACTACATAACTGTATCTTCAAGATAATTGACTTTGTGACAACATTCTAATTACTCAATCTTACGTGTTTTATTTGAACAATCATGTGACAATTGTATGAATAAATCAATTGTAGTGACTGTTAAACCATTGTACTCATACTGGTGTATTATAAAATCACTACGAAAGGCAGTTCAAGAACAAATGTTACATCAAATACTCATTATTATAAATACTCAGTTTTCGGCATTAACCAAATGTCTGGGTCGAATCTAAGCAATTAATAAAATTGACAGCAGAATTAATAGCAAATATGTTGCAGTTGCGTCATTTACAAATCACATACATAGCACTCGGCATGCGGTTACCCATAAACATATCAGAGTCATGCGTTAACGATTTACGAAGTATTATTAGCCGAACATTAGATTGGAATTTTGATCTCAATGGTTTCAATATATGTGCTACTTGTTCTTATTTACCTCGTCAGCTCAATGATATGTACATTCATAATCTCTCTGCCCTAGACTGCTGGCCGATCAATCGTTGGCGAGGTCACTGACCTACTCTCTTGTGAACTCTACCAGACCCCAAATCCTTTTAATCCGTAAATCACATTATTATTATTTTACATGATATTGGTTATTCTCTGTTACACTCTCCTATAAGTAATAGCGAGAAATAATAAAATATGTTATTCGAGATAAAGGCTACAAAATTTAAGCACTGCTATACCGTTGTCTCACTATGTCATATTGACATGTCATACGTCACCCACTTTATCACGTGGTGTGCCGGTTATATTCAAGTAATTCATTTCAATCCTATTTTTTTACAGATCAACACACTGATATTTGATATTTAATATATTTGATGAAAAAAATATGAAAGTTCACGACATTCATTTCACCACGACGAGACGGCTCATTCCATACGGAATAAGTCGAATGAATAGTGTATGTTTTAATCTTTAGAATCTACTTGTCTTCCAGGAACCGTTGAAATTGAAAAGTTGTTTCTTGTTATTTCACAAATTCGAGGTTTTTGATTACCAGACCACAGATTCACACACTTCTGCGCTTGGCGTACCGTACAGCAGTGTTACCCAATAAGATCGTAACCAATATGACGTCACATATTATACGAGGATAATACAAATGCGTAGACGGGTGTACAGAATATATTCTTCGATTGAGTAAAATGTTTCAAAAACGACATTGTCCTCAACCTACTTACAATATGGGATATATATATATTCTTATATATATAGGCACAAAAGCTTGACTGATACAAAACACATTCTCTAATTGTACCAGGCCATTCAAAGTTGCATTCAATATTGTAAGACATTCTTTCCTCTGTGCTATTTTATAAATTGCTCGATATTGATGTATTGTCGACATGTACAACTAGTATGTTTCATAGGTTTCATGTTTTCTCTAGAGAAAACGACTATTGCTGGCCTTGTAAAATCCATGAGTGTGATAACTGAGTTGGTTACATCTAGTTTTGAATCGCATCATATCAATGAAAGGTAATCAACGTTGAACGTAACGTTACGTGTGAATACAAACAATTACGGTAGTAGTTTTTTGCGTGTGACTGTATGACATAAATGACAATTATAATTCTACTGTCATCAATTCATCCCTTTACAGCATTATTCAATTCTCCTACATGTAAGGTATATATACATATGCAGCCTTCATAAAGTACATTGTAATTTCTTGCAGATAAAATGAGTTGTTGCTAAATACAATTACTCTGTAACAAAAATGATCTCAGATGACAACAATGCCAATTGTCCAATATAAACAGCAGGGTTTGCACTCAAAAGAAACAAAACATTTGACTGGGATTCAGACTGACACATAGCGGGTGACACACGCAGAAAAAGATGTGTTCACTGTTTTTTTGAAGCGCCTGATAATACGTCATGTATTTCCTGTTACTGATTTGATGTTTAGTTCACGCGTTCACAACTAGGTGGGTTCTTGTCACTTTACAATGCTATAAACATCGCTAACGACGGTGAGAGAACGAAAAAGCGTGATTTAAACAAGGGGGAGACAAGAAAGAGATTTAATTTTATGTTACATAACACAAGGTACACATCAACTTTCAATGCAAAATTCGAAATATTATTGCATCTTTACAGAATATCTCATTACCGATTTTAACATGTGTGATTAATTGCTGATTTACCAGAAGGTAGTTGCAGGTCTATACCGACAACCCTGAATGCTAGTGTAATGTATGCTTTCACCACGACCAATAGGCTTTATTATACATCTGTAACCGTAACCCCATAAGTTACAGCGTGACGTAATTTTGCGGTATTTGATGGGGTATTTTCATTCTACCATATTAGGAAACGCGAATTCCAATTATGGAACGATTACGCGAGTAGGCGTTCTCTAATAATAAAAAGCAAACATGGCTACCCCAATGGTTTTACCGGACCACACACAGTAAAGGTTCGCTGCATCTGTTCTAAACGTTTTGGATTTCGCCATTCCCGTGATGTAATTCCTGTAATAGATGTATAATAATAACGTTATTATGAGGATACTGCAAAGTATGTACCCAGATAGTACGCATGGGCATTAACCTCCGCTGTGCATCGGTCGAAAGTCCCGCTGTACTGTCCTCGTGAATACTTTGCAGTATCCTCGTACTAACCTCATATTATTCTTAGATTTGAAAATACATTTTACTGTTATGTGCGGTGATATTTGTTTAGATTTGAAGAGCTATGTATTCTAATTTACAATAAAAATACATTACTACTGATATTAGCAGTGATTTCTATACTGATATGATTGGTGCCACGCAAATAGGTTCAATTACATTGCGTTTATTTATTTATTTATTTTATTTCAACAATCATGTTTCTACAGCCACCAAATGTAAGTTATAACGAGCCTTTTCAAAATGCGCAAAGAAATATCAACATTTATGCAATACTCGATAACAATCAAAATGGGTGTGTGAATAACGTCAATTAAAGTAATAGTACTTTGTTCCTTCACTAACATAACAAATTTATTTTTTGCTGTTCCAAATTATTAGAATAAAAACGTTACTAGCAATTCTCTCTTCATAATCATGACATCCCGCTCAAATTGTACTTCAATATCCAAGTCAACACAAGGACGAATATCATAAAATGACATTCCGTATCTCAGAAATGCAGATTGATACCATTGAATCAATATTTAGACATACCAAACACTGACAGATGTGTCATTAATAATCGGATAAAAAACTCTGCACGACAACCCGCTCATTAAAATATATGATACACGGGAATATGCAAATCCATTCGCGGTCCACCGAAACATGCCATGCCTATTCGAACGTAGCCACGTTATACTCTCATTCAATTTGTACGAGTCGTGATGAATAATGCACCAACTGGTAGTTGCAGATTACACACATAATATCAAAAATATGATTGCTTATAGATAAACCACCTAGTGTACCCTATTTAAGAGTAATTGTAAGTAATACATTGCAGTGAACAAAGCAAAGAGTGGCAAGATAAAAAGAACCCTGTAATATATTCAGTGGTGCGGAAACATTAATTAGTAATTAGATGACGCATACATGTGAGCAATGAATCTAAAGGAGTAGAAGATGACATATTCTTGACCAACATATGGTATATTAATGTCATGTATACACTGAGCCACGCAAAGTATGCGAATCAGTCACTATTGAGGTAATTTAATTCCGGTGCACATACTACTTAAATAACCCCAACTCCAATGAAGACAAGCCCAATGTATACATTTTTTCACTGGGAGAATTGGTATATATAAGAAACATATATAACAGATTTAATATTACAGTACAGCACGGCAACAATTATCTCTATATATTTTCGATATTTTGAATTGTATATAATAATTATAGCCATATATGTCGGCATTTGTAGCCAAATACTCTCCCTGGTGTAAATCATGCATTATTCTGGTTAAAGGGCGGCGGTCGTACGTTGCGCCGCGCATGTGCGACAATTGTGTGAAAAAATATTGATTTTTCCATAATCCAATGCGCTTTTCTAATTAAATCATGAGTACGAGTTTGGCCCTGGCCACCACTTGCACTAATTACTGCCGGCTACTCCTTCCATACCTTCCAATCACCATAAACGTACCTTGGTAAACTTTCACTTTGTACTAGTTGGGGCGCGCAACAGTCAACATCGCCATTTTTGTTGATATGAGACCCATATCTCGCGCATGCGCGGAGCGACGACTACGGCCTTTTAAAACTAGGTTATACAAGTACGCGCTTACAACTTTCTCTGAACATCGAGTTATTGGTTGCTAGCTGCGCATATCTACACGTATCTTGCTGATGAGAGTAACGACCTGATTTATATCAAGTTGAAGAATCACCGCAGCTATAAATCGAAAGTTTAAGAGTGTATTTCATTGAAAGGAACCCGTGAGTTAGACTTCAATTTGTAGGTCGTTTCAGTTGTGCTCGAACTTCGTGTGGTGGTACAAGTGGTGACAGATGTCATCATGTAATCCTGCTGTTTGTCCTTCTCGTGACAATTGTCGCAGCATCCAAGAGTGTTGATAAACGCCCGTCTGTATTGTTTGTTCAATATTCCATAAACAATGGGATTCACTGAGGAATTCACCATCGGCAGCCACCGAGCCAGCTCTTCCCATGCCTGGGGCATAATGATTACACTGTTAGGATGTGTTGTGTTGTATAAGTACCCGATGATCAGATCTAAATGATACGGCAATAGGCAAACGAATAACACACCCGCCGTCACCGCTAACATAACCACTATCTGCCGTTGTTGATGAAGCCTCTGTTTCAAATCATGGGCACTAACTGAATATCTCCGCACACTTTTTTGCAGCTCTCTTGTCGTTAACACATTGAGCACAATAATTATTGTGATTACTAAAACGAATGCAATTATCGGCGTCAAACTGTGTAATATGCCATCAAGTGGTGTCCAGACGCCGGCGAAGCAATTGGAATACGACATCTGTAGAGAAATTGTCTCGTTACTTTTCGGCCATATAATACATACAGTGTACCACTTAATATAAAATTTGAAGATCGGAGCGGAGAACACAAGGCCAACAATCCATGTAAGTAAAATAAGTACGAATGTGCGAGACTTAGAACTAATTCTCTCATAAGTAAACGGTTTACAAATTGCCATGTATCGTTCGAAGGTCACCAACACGATGTTAAACTCAGAGACGAAGAGACAAATATCTAGAGCAATGTTCACAATAAAACATCCAACCGGTCCTAGGAAACTTTTATCGTGTACGACATCAGTTGACAACGGTTCACCGACCTGCACTATATAGTATAAGCTTAGAAACATACAGTCTACGATGGCTTGGTTCGATAGATACATATTAGTCAGTGTACGCATGGCTGACACTTTGAATACTACGTAGAGAAACAGACAGTTGAGTATGATACCAAACGGACATGTAATCGTAGCTGGAATGATACGGGTTAGCAATATATGCTCGGAATCGTAGAGAAACTCTGGTGTACCTGGTGCTGTGTAGATATCCGTGAGATTTTTACTTCGTGCATCGATGACACACTGGTTAGTGTCGATCAGATCATTATAATCGCTGCTGGTATTCATTGTCTTTCACATATGATGACCCGAATGGTTATACTGCTGATTTTATCTAGGATAGACAAGAAACAGAAATGAGCAAGTACATATACTGGGTGAGACAACGCGATAACACGGACCGAGCATAACATAACATTTCACGTATAACTGACCGACGCCGTTATATGAACACAGTAACAGAGTGAAAGTCAAGAGTCGTGACTGAGTTTGTCGCCCACCTACCTATACAGCGCCCTCAGATATCACGCATAATGACAATTATGCCTAACAACAGGGATGCGTTTAAATCAACGCGAAACGCAGCATGCATATGACAGTTTTATGCTCCCCGATATATGTGAACCATCTGCGTTTAGTTGTTCTACTACAAACATTCACAAGGCAATGAAACCTTAAACATATTATTTTAAGTTGTTTTTCGTGATTATCTTTCCGCCACCCAACGGCACAGCTTATAGTGAATGTAGTTTCCGTTTCCAAATAAAAGTGTGAAGTTGCATCAACTGAAAAGAAGAATGATAATCTACCTGCATCTATGTATGTTATATTTAACAATCTATAAGTAAGGAGTTTTAATGAATATACCAAATATATTAGTAAATTTATAATTATGCTTGTGACATCTTTATTAAGCGTGGAACGCGTGTAATGTTGTGAAAACAACCGCCTGATGGCGCTTTGTTAACTACAGTCGGCAGTAATGGCATTTACCATATCACCATATGACCGCATAGATTGATTGGCCTTGTATAATGTTTCCAAAGCCTAGCTCACCACCATTTTAATTTTTATATAATTTGCATTAGAATATTAAGCACTGCAAAACAAATGTCATGATTCACTGGTTACATTGATGTCCGCTATCTAGTGTTTCAATGTTGTGTCTTGTCCTTAGTCCAAAACAGGCCGCAAACTTAGAAAGCATATAATTGTTGTTCAGCATTTACTAGGACAAATACTCTTTTTTCGTTCCAAACAGTGTCCGCTAATAGGTTTCTTTGATTTCAAAATTGTTGTGTACTAGGTAAGTACTCTTTCTTTTATTTCATAATATAACATAATATTTTTTTTTACAATCTTACTCACACAAACACATTGACGCATATTCACAAAGTTATCATAATACAATATATTACAGCTTTGTTATTTACGACCTTCAGGCTCTTTTAATAATATTTACCCAATTGCCGTTAATAAGAATGCGAACTTTAAAACATATATC